GGCTGGATTCGAACCCACCAGCTCAGGTGTATGTGGCTGGCACCTTAGCCACTTGAGTCACAGGCACCATGCATGCCCTTTTCCCCATTTTCAGGCTATGGCATGTTCTTTAAAAATCATGATTTGAAATATCTGTGCAATAGTCCATCAGTGAATAGAAAAACATACTTGGGTTCCCATTATTTAAACATTATAATTATTCCCAAGACAGTTCTTTTTCCCATGATATTCAATGAATTCTGCTTTTTCTTCCCATTTCTGCACCTACCACCCTTTTATATGTGAATTATTATGAAGGCTGATTAAGTGGAAGGGAAGGAGCTAGCATATGTTTGTTTGTTTGTTTGTTTTTGCAGTTTTTTGGCCAGGTCTGGGTTTGAACTCCACCTCCGGCGCCCTACTCCTTGACCCACAGGTGCTGCCCAGAGCTAGCACTTTTTAAATACTTTCTAGGTAACAGGCAATGGTGATCAACTTATATCATTTATCTTTATTTAACAGACTAACAATCAGTACCTGTTACTCCACATTCATAGCTCTGTTTCTTAGCCATACCAAAGATGAAGGTATCTTTTATGTTTTCACTGAAAAAATTTAAAATTCTGAGGCTTGGACAGTGCTGTACCACTTCCTGAAATCCCACAGCCCTCGTGTGACTTTCCTTCTCAAGAAGGCCAAGCTCAGCATCTTCAACCAGCTCTGCAGAGACCTTTGAATCACTACCACTCTCCTGCTCTTTATCTGTGAGACTTTCCAATGTGGTCAAGCCAGTTTTCTCATTGCCCTGCACTCATTTCGCTTATTCCATTTCCTTACTGAGTAAAGTATAAATTGCTGTAAGGCAGGGAGGCATCAGCACTTGGTATTAAGCTGAATTAAACAGATTTTATGGAAATAAAATGGAGTCGGACACCTGCAGAGTGCTACCACCTGACCATGCTTTGTGGTGGCAGTGACCAGTGCGGGCCAGGGGTTCTTGCTGTTTACACTCCAGGCCACCATCCTGGGCATCACAACTTCTCCAACTAAAAAGCTCTCCCACCAAACCCTCAGCCCTTCTGAATCAGAAACTCCAGGAGTAGGTACCAGTAATTCAGATTTTAACAAGCCCTCCACGTGATTCTGATATAAGCTCAAATTTACACACCACTGCAGACAGTTCACTTAGAACACAGCTCAATCTAAGTTCTACACAATGGCACCAATTAGCAACAAAATAGAAACCTTTGACCTGCTGTGACTAAACTAGCAATTGCTGTTCCCATTCTAGAGTTACAAGTAATAAGTGCTCTTCACCAATTCCCATGCTGTTGTGGAATAACACTGATGCTAACAAGATGTTTCAGAAACAAATGTTCATTGGTATGGTTGAAATTAGCATTTCCCTAACTTTGAATCTCATGGCTTTCATTTTTTCATTAGAGATGATACATCATTACAGCTGTTTGAAATTTGGGGGCAATTGTTGGTTTTCCCCCCTTGTTTTACAAGGAAAACAACAGTAGAACCATCTGTCTATTCCATAAATAACACAAGAGTTTTAAAAAAACAGATCACTCTTTTAAGTAATTCCATAACAGTTCAGAGGGAGCTGTGGTAACAGGACCAGTGTGGAAGGGAAGCAGAGGTGCTATGAATATTTACATGTCTTTAGAGAAAAAGAAGCAAGCTTATGGCTGCGTGGTCACAGAATCTGCTCACTTCCTTCTACTTGCCGCAAAAGCATTCACGAAGAAGTTTCCCTTTGATTCAGAGGTCTTCCATGACTGCTTTTCTCTTTTTCTATTCAGGAGTCAGTTTGCTGATTCCCGCTGGGGCCATTCCCCAAGGGAGAGTCTACGAAATGTATGTGACTGTACACAGGAAAGAAAATATGAGGTAAATATGCTTTCTCTGGTGCACTGACTTTATCATGTCTAACTTAGAGAATTGCACAACAGAAACGATAACCCCAACATACTTTTGTCTGAGTGACCTGTTTCTGACATGCATTTTTTTCCCTAGACCTACAAAAGCTCAAATTTTATCTTTGAACTCCCGACACCTTTGCAGAGCTTGAGTATGGGTAGAAGGCCTGAAATGTTTGCCCAAGTGGACATGTGGCCATATTTGCTGAAAAAATGGCCAGAATAAAATCTGTATCCTGTCCAGGGAGACACGTGGGCAGACTCAGATGTCAACTTCATGTGGCCTGGCTCAGGAATCCAGCCTGTTCCCATTATAAGGTTAAAGGTCACAAAGGATTGGACAACCCCTTAACCCCTGCCCTGCCACTCCCGTCTCAGCCTAGTACTTAATTTGTACCCACAGAGCCCTCCTCTTCTGACTGTGTTCTAGCGTAAGTGATACCAACCTCCTTCTCATGTTTACTACTTAAAATTCCATATTTAGGCCTTCAAAACGGGTCTAGGGTTGTGGAAACTGGATCAACTCAAAAGGCTCTGTTTTGTATGTGTCATGATTACGGTATTTTAAGTATAAATAATAAAAGGAGGGGCGGCATCTGTGTCTCAAAAGGGTAGGGCGCTGGCCCCATATGCCAGAGGTGGTGGGTTCAAACTCAGCCCCGGCCAAAAAAAACCCAACAGGAGTTTGGAAGTCCTGAACTGAATTTTCAGCTTGGCATCTTGGAAACCGTGTAGTCTTTCTTGATTAGCTCCCATGTAAAGTGCGTGTGTTAAATTGTGCTTTCTAGGCCTGACTGCTTAGTGCCTCTGAAGTACACTGAAATACTAAACTGAAAGACGCCATTAAATGGAGG